GAGGTAATTTTTACCCTCCCTGGGCTCTGGAGGCTTTCTTCAAGCCTCTGGGAGGGCAAAAACGGCCTTCCTGGGCTCCAGAGGCTCTGTGGATGCCAGAAATGGACCCATTTCTGGCCTTCGGGAACTTCTGGGAGGCCCATTTCTCACCCTCCCTGGGCTCCAGAGGCCTTCCTCGAGCCTCCAGGAAGGAAAAAATGGCCTCTCCAGAGGCTGGAAACAGGCCCATTTCCAGCCTTCCAGAACTTCAGGAAGGCCCGTTTCCCCACAAGGCTCTGTTTTTTGCCCTCCCAGAGTCTCCATGTGGGCCCTCCGGGGAGTGGAGGAGTAGGTGGGGCCAGCCAGTTGTTTCAATTACCGGTTTGGTGAACCAGATGTAAAATTAACATCTGGTTTGTCAGAACATCTGGTTTGTCAGAACTGGTGCAAACTGGTAGCAGCCCACCACTGAGGATACTTTTAAAGGGAACTGTAGATCAAGAAAAGGTCCAGAGAATACTAAGCAGTTAATAGTGTGTGGAATATTTTATATATAATGGACAAATTCATATGACAAATAGTCAGGAAAAGATCTATTTATAAATCTGTAAAATATCATGAATTTGTGTTTGTGTGTGTGTGTGTGTGTTCAAGCATTTTAATAAAAATGTACTTTTGACTATAATTTAAGAATGTTATGTAAATGTATTTCTGCTTCTATAATATGTTTTAATATTTGTTTCTTATTCTGATTATTTCTTGAAATATATCTATAAAGCTATTTCTGTCATTAAGTGCCTTAAATATGGTTTCATTTATATATATTCTGCCTCATCTAGAAATTATTTGTGTTATTATATATTACTTAATATTTGCCTGAGAGATAATACACCAATAATTTCAGAAATATTTATACTATTTTAAAATAAAGTAATAAAAACAGAAGAAAGAGAAAGAAGAAAAAGATACAGTTATTAATCTTGCTAAACCTAAAACTACATTAAAATATTGCATTCTGGGGAGTCTTGTGAAAGCAGCAATAGATTTTCAGTTGATAACCCAATAACAAATAAACAACTTCTGAAATTCATTACCACAGGATGTAAGATAGTTATGAGTTCATGGGGCATTCAAAATGATTAGCTATATTAATAGATGACATGACTATCAACAGCTGTTTTCTATGATAGCTAAGAAAGGAACTTCCGTGTTGTAAAGAAATATATGTAATTAGCAGATGTTGGAGACAAATCACGGGGGACATTTCGCATCTCAATGTGCATTGAAAAAAAATATCTGAACAATGCCTTATATCATTCTGAAAATATATGAAGAGTCTCTCAACTCACACTGCTGATTCAGACTGGAACACACACCTTTATGTGTGAACAACCCTTCATATTTTCAATTTTAAAATGCCAGCAGAATATTCATGTTTTTACTATAGATAGAACTGAATTAATTTTTCCATTATCATGATGAGGCATTCAAAATTGAATAACCACAAAATTCACATATTTTGGAACAGACAAAAAGAATTTTGGAACAAACAAAAAGAAATGGAGATCAATTAAATGTATTCATATCTGATCATGGCTAGCTTCAGTGGAGCTTCCAATTCCATGAAAAATCCTTTTTACAGGAGACAGAATCAAATAGGTAATGCATTCTTTGCCATTTTATCACTGTAATGTATCCGTAACAGAATAATATATACCATTTGGGTAAGTTCAGGGCAATACAATAATTCCAAAAACAGATAGAAGGTGTATTGTTAGCTGGTTTCATACCTGCCACAAATGGAAAAATGAGAAAAATGGCAAATAAACTTAACAGAATGACTTCCTAAGGACTTTAGCTTACAAAGATTAGTAAGAAGTATTGAAATATATTTATAATTTTAAATAAAGCAATTTTATCAAATCAAGTTTAACACACACTGGTAGAAGTAAATAAATTGATATTATTACTGATCAGCTACTCATTCCAATACTTCATTTTAAAAGTTTGCAGGATGGCTGATCTAAAACAATCTTACCAGCAAATATTCTTGTAAGAAGAAAACGTATTGGAACTATACCTAGAGAACTTCAGCATCACAAAGTAACTGAAAGCTGATATGATTTGTAGGTGGGAGTGCCAATATATTATGGTCACCATATTTTCTTGGAAAAAATAAACTGAAAAAGGCACAGTCTAAAAAAAGTTCATAAGGATAAAAAGCTGTTTACCTTCATCACTTTGCTTTACAAGTCTTTATTTTAAAATTCAAGAGGAAAACCAAGAAAAATTCATATTCTAATAAACATGTGTAAAATCAAACAGTATGTGTAAATGCATCTATTTATTTTATTTAAAGTCAATTCAATTTCGATATTTTTCAGAAGAATGTGAAAGATTGAGCATTATGTGGTACTATTTGTACAATAAAAGTTAAATGACCAAAATAAAGGGCAAAACTAAGTTTTTGAAAAATAAATAAATCTAAGAGTTTAAATTAAGAACTGTCCTTTATAAATAAAGACATATGGTGACTGTACAATATATACATGCTATAACATGCAAACTGAAGTAGAATTCTTATTTCAGCCTATATTTGATTACTTTTTTTGGCTTCCTTCACATGCTCTCCCTCATCATATTCATACTACGTAGACAAGCTAAATTGCATTTACATTTTTTCAGTTCTTCCTCTTCCTTATAGAAAATATATTGCCTCTGTTTCCTTCATAGTCTTTTTACTAAGTGCCATCAAATCAGGTTTCTTTTTACCAAAATATTGTTATAATGTTCTTTTTACTTTCAGTCTTTCTAAAACAAGTACTTTTTAACACGTTACTTAATAATTCCTGTTTATTACTTAACAGCAGTTACATCTCTAGTTATTACATTATATATGTGTAAAAAAATGTCTGTATGTGACAAAGTTGCTCTGAAAATACAAGCCTTTATTCAGTGATTTAAAACTGATTATGTCTAACAGATACGCCTTTGAACTATGACTTGTTTTTTGTACTAAAATTCCTTCTTGGTTCCCACTCAGTGACATGAAATATAATCTAGAGGCCCCCCTTCCAAGCAATGTTTCTGTTGCCAAGATATCAGATTTTCCCAGTACCCAAAAGACAGTATTTTGCTGCTGAAAACAACTATCTTTTAAAGTTGTTATAAAATGCAGCTTGGTCTGTGTATCCTAAAAAACAACTTTGTGTTCTTTTCAAAATTTCAGTTAACTACTAAAAACTTTTTTTTAATTTCATTTATTTCTTTGAGACTGAAAAATAGTGGAATCTATTAGACCCACATTTGTCTTATACAGCAATTGAAGGACACAAATTTAACTATACTTGAAAAAAATGATACATTTCACTAAAGTCAAGGAAGGAAGCATCTATTGAAATGCAGAGAGACAGATGCAACCATGTAAAACCTTAAAATACTACACATACTTGCTGTTATTGGTATTTCATACAAAAGCCACTTCTGCAATAAGAAAAATGTGTTCTTGTGATTCTCTGAGGAAATCAATGGTGGTGAGCTACCCAGAGTTGTGGTTTTAAGATAGGCTATCCTCTAAGACTTTAAATAAATATGTAAATTCCCTGTATATTTTTATTTGTAGAAAGGGAGCAACTTGGCCCCAAATCCTCCCCCAGTTCATAGTGCTTTTGGAAATATCTTCAGTGCATGTTTGAAATCTTATATACTTGTCATCTGGGTATGTGGGATTAAGGCATCTCTCCTATGATGAAGTAGTACCTATTTCCAGGAAGTGAAAGGGATCCAAGACTCCCATGATGTCCCTGTTCTCTATTATGGACTTTCCTTAAAGAAAAGATTGGCTCCATCATTAAAACGCTTCCAAATTATTTTAGAGAACTTTGGGGTGAATTTATGATATCATCAAGATTGTGTTAACTTGTAACTCTGAATAGCTTACATTCTGATTTATCATGAATATTTAATTGTTGTATTTTGTAATTGTTGTAAACAATCAAGCTATGAGATGGGGTGAATATCCAACACACACATCTGACAAATCAAGCAAGAAAAAGAGTATATTTCCTCTACACTAATTTAAAGGGACATATTTAGAAACTAGAGCGTAGTCCTGAAGCTGATTCAATGGTTTTCAACAACTGTGCTGCAGCACACTGATGTACCTTGAAAGGTTTACAAGTGTGCTACATGAGTTAGAGTCCCACCTTTGTGACATCACCGGGGTGAACTGCCTTTATGTCGCTCCTGAGCCCTAGTAACATGTAACATCATGGGACCTCCATTTTTATGACCCAGAAGTTCCACCTATGAGATGAAAATTGATGAATTGGATGGTTGCTGAATGCTTTTGTCACTTTTGCTGAAAAAACAAAGGTACAAGCCTGCTCAGGAGATAAAAAGTCTCAAGGAGTTTGGATAACTTGCAGCTTCAAAACAATATAATGAAAATTCTATTTTCTATAACATTCAGTATGCTAAATTTCTATTGGGTAGAAAAGGAAAAAATAGAATTGTAAGGAGAGAGTGACTGAACAGATGTTTCTTGAAGCAAAGTGAAGTTTTATTTTCTTCCTATGCTCTATCTATTCAAATTATGTCTCAATTCAGTTTACTAGCAATATTCTGGAATTATATGCTCTTGCTGCATGTAACACTAACCAAGAAATATTCCTTCAAATGAAGATATTAAGCCAGAAATAAATAATACTGTGTTGTGATTTCCATACATTATTCTGTATAATTTGAAACATTTTCTATAAAAGTTTTCTAGTTTAAATTTTAGCATTTTAATTTCATGCTTTGAATTATGCTCTCAACTATCATTGGAACACTTCTTGGAATTGCCAGAGATGTAGAATTTATTTGTGCAAGGCAAAAAGATTTGAAATTCAAAAGAGGGAAATTCTTAAAAATGTTACCTGGTTTCCAAATAAATCAAAGATAGAGAAAGAAGAGTAGGAAAAAAAATACCAAACGTAATTTACAATCCTACGTTTTCTTAAATCACTTAACTTAGTGAAATTTACTTCTAGTAAACATACATACAACAGTGTTGTCTGTTGGCCTATTTCCACTGGAAAATGCATAAATAAGACTTGAGGAACAGAACGAATTATTGTGCCAGCTTGTCAGGAGTTTTATATTACAGGAATGATGGGCTAATGTTCCAAAATTCATTAATCTATCCTTTAAAAATAAAACTTCAAATCAAATGTTGACAATTAACAGACTGTGCTTTCATCCTTGGATTTCAGAATATTAAATAACACTCAGCTTTTCAATGGCTCGGGGAACTAAAGGTTTTTCAGGTGGTGACATCAACTGATTTGCCCATTCATCTAAGTACATTACAAAGCTGGATATAAGCATAGAGAAAGAGGACGACACCATAACACCGTATTGTGTTGAAGCTTACTAAAAAAGATGTGAGACTACTGATGTATAGAAGTTTTGCAGCAGCAAAAGGTTTCTCCTGACCTGTCACGATCAACTCAAGTGAGCAGTGCTCATCCCTGATTCTTAGCTGAGAGAGACTGCATTGCCTAATAGATGCTTCCATTGTTATCTGCCCAGCATGAAAATGGAAAACAGTAATCTTCCTGCCAAAGTGGTACTTATTTATTTATTCACATTTGCATGTTTTTGAACTGCTAAGTTGGTAGGAATTGGGACGAATAACAAGAGTTTACCCCATCATGTGATCCTTGGGTCTCAAGCCTGGGCTGTCAGCTTTCCAGCTGACAAACTCAGCATCTTAAGATGCTGAGACATTTCACTGCACATTGCAGCAGCATAATAAACAATAAATAAATGAACAAATGAATAACATATTTTAACCTCAAAGAGTTTCAAAAAATGAACCAGAAACATGGCACAAATTCTGAGTTAAGCATAAAGTTAATTTTGCCACCCTTCACAGTTTTTTGCATGCCAGATACCTGATTTCAGAATTTGTGTACCCAGACCCATCGTCCCTTGGAGAAGGTAATTCTTCAATCTCTGTGGTAACCCAAATACATTTATTCTACTTAGCTGCTTTTTAACTGAGGTTCTTTGAAGATTTTTCATTTACAGTCTCAAAATGCTCAGGGATTCAACGTAATGATTTGTTGGTTTCATTTTCCGATTCTCTGTATTTCTCTCTCAGTCTGTTTTTAGATGCTCTGCCATGTCTCTTTATTTTTATATTCCTGTCCTAGAATTATGTCCAAGAAGACAACTGGCAAACTAGAAGCTTAGAACAGGAACTGTAGGCAAAGGCTTTTAATCTTTTAATCTTAAGCAGCCGTTTATTATTTAGCTATTACATCTATTGGCTGTAAATAACTAAAACATATTTTCTGTTTTATTTCCATGCATTTCTATGTAAAATGCATTAGTCTTTCATTAAGCAGATATCAATGAGATTAAAAACGTAATTACGTGAAGAATTTTTCCCACACCAAAGGTTTGCTGCTCACAGTTTGAAAACACATTTCTGTCTGGTTAGATGCTTTCTTCCTCTAATATTTATTAGCTTTAAAAATCATTTTAAAAGTGATGGGTGACAGTGAAGTTCATGCATCCAACCCATGAAACATACCCTGTGTGACTCAAAACACCAACAGGGGTTTCAGAAGGTCAGACAGAAATAAACTAGTAATAAAATACCTCTATGTCCCTGAGTGCACAAATCCCAACAATTGACAACATGCTGCCATTTGCCAAGGTGAAATCTGCTTAAAATAATGTCTCTAATATTTATTTATTTAAACAATGAAAAAAAAAATCTCTAGTTGCAATTTATTAATTTGATACTGCTTCTGATTTAAGTCAGTACAAGACTTGTTAGAGAACCCATACAATTACTTAATGGGCAATATAGTTACAGGGATACTCATAGGTTGTAAACTATTTTGAATTATTTCTGCATAAATGTGACCTAAAATGTGATCTTTTTTCCACACAAGTCCTAAAATTCAATCAAAGACAGCCCATTTAAACAAATGAGTCATCTTCATTTATTCATTTAGGAAAATTATTCAAAGCTCATTGTGGCAAAAGTATTGAACTTCTAGCATTTCAAGCTGAAATAAAGTCAATCAATGAGACGATAATCCCATGCAAATCTGGGAAGCCCTATTTTTTTAAAAAAATTCAGGGTATTCACGATCAATATCAATTCCATACAATACAGAGGTTTGGAAATGTGTTGTGGCTTAAACAAGAGAGATTTTTGAGAACTTCTGAAAAATGACGATGCTCACTAAGGTTACAAAACTATTTGGACTCTACCAATGCACTGTAATTGAAAGGATTTTAAAACATATGATTTGGTCTTGCTATAGAGTAACTCTGTTTCAGATGGAGAATTAAATATTTATTAATATGATTCTACCAAGAGGAATAAGATTTAAATAATTTAATGTTGTGCTCAATTATATATCAAATTCAAACCTTGGAATTTATCTATGAAGACTTTTGGATTTCTTGAACTTGAAGCAGAGCTAAAACAGTGGCTGTGCTTTGGGAAAGAAGCTACTACTCCAATTGAATTATAAATTTTTACACTTTCCATTTTTGAACTGAATTACTTATCAATGCATGAAAAGATTGATGAGTATGATTCTATGTGGACAAAATATGATTCTGTACAGGTTAAATCTGATTTGCCTAGATAAAGCTTTTGTAATATGCATTATGTATTTAGGATTATTTTGTCATTAGTTTCTTTTGTTTCTTTTTTGACATTTTTACACACATTGTATGTTTTGTATTTTTAATTCTACCTGTTGGTATATAATAACAAATCAAAAATATTCTGGTACTTATTTATGTCTACCAAAAAAAGCCAGATTGGTGTAGAGGTTAGGTTTAGGTTTAGGTGATTTTGCCTAGGTGATTTTGGGTCAGTCACTTTCTATCTCTCGCGCAGGGTTGTTGTTGTGAGGAAAAGAGGGGGAGGAAAGTGTTGGGTATGTTCGCTGCCTTGAGTTTATTATAAAGTATTAAAGGTAGGATTAAAATCTAATAAATAGATTAAATAAATAAAGCATTTTTACAACTGAAGTAAAAATTAATTCATCCATACTTTAGTGTTTGTCTTTTCTTGAAGCTATTATCTTTTAACATTCTTATCCAGTTTTTTCTTCCAGAAATATTAATCATATGTTAATATTGTAAGTTTTATTATGCTATACTATTAGAATGTATATTCTATTATAGTATAATTGTACAGACTATGATTTTAATTATCTCTATAAGATTCACTTATTTCAACAGGACTTTCTAAAGTACTCATAACATATTCTCCATTTGGGTTATAAGAATAGCACAATGAAAACTTTCTAAATGAAGATATCTGAAACTATTATATGCTATTTGCAATTAATGATAATGTGCAATAAATACAAGATAAATGCCAAAATCTTAATCTAATTTCTCTTAATATGACATTGAAATATCTTTAATAACCCTTATTTCCTGTAAATACTGGGGTTTTTTATTTATAGTGCAATTAGATATTTTGCTAATCTCACAAGGGAGCTGCTAATGATTCAATCTTTGTGAAATAAAGCTAAGTAGAATGCAAATACCTGTATTTAAGAAAGACCACTTCCAAGATCATTAACCGTAGGTAAAGGCCTGTACATTTATATGTGATAGATCCATGATAGCAAACCTGTGGCACGTGGAGCCATGTCACCTGGCACGTGTGGTGTCACCCATTCCTCTTCTGGGTTTCTGGCACGCATGCACGTGTGAAAATCTGCTGGCCTTCATGTGTGAGGCAGTGCTGGAAACTGGAAGACCAGCTCTGGAAAACCGGCCAACTGATCGCTGTGCATGCATGCATGCCAGAAACCAGAAAACCAGCTGACTGGTGCACATGCATGTGGCAGAAACCGGAAGTTGATTTCCCAGTGTGCACATGCCCCCTGGGCTGCTCCTCTTCCAGGTTGTGGCCCCGATGAGCGTGTGCATGCTCCCTTTTCAGCACTCGGTGCCGAAAAGGTTCGCCATCACTGTGATAGATAATACAATCACTATGTCAAGAAAACATGTTTGATTATTACTCCTCAGACTCATTAATTGTTGTGTCTGTCTCATAGTGGTGAGCAATTGAATCAAGGAGGAGATACAAAGTAGCTAAATACTGGCAACAACTTGCTAGAAAAGCTCCCTGCTTGAAAAATCTCCAACTCAGCAAGTGTAAAATAGATTTAATTGTTCTTTATAATACACAATGCAGAAACAAAATGAATACTCTCAGTTGTATGAAACAGTTCAGTTACCAGTTTGGAACTGCAAGTTAGCCAGAAGAAAACTGATGACATTGCATAACTTAGAGCTGTGTAGTTAGGAATGACCATAGAAAACTATGCCAGTCCAGGTGGATCTCAGTTACCAACTGCCTCATTCAATGACCATTCAGAGTAACAGTGGTGCTGTAAAATAAGTTTATGAGCAATGCCCTCATTTTCAACTTTTGCAGTGTTCCTCAGTCACATGATTGCCATTATATTCAGCACATGTTGTCCTTGCCGGATCTGTTTTTCTTTTCTTTTTCTCCTATCCAAGTGCAGAGATTGGAGAGATTACAAAAGAATAAAAAGCCACATAATGAGGAATAAAGGAATGCAGTGGCTCTGGGATCCCTGAGTGCACTTGGGCTGGGAACCACCAGCATGCTATGTAAACAGACCAGTGTATTCCCCATTGTGTGCTTGCTTATTACTCTCTTGGATTCCCTTTCCCTCCTAATCTCTCCATTTTGCTGGGGCGGCGGGGGGGGGGGGGGTTGGAGAGAGAAAAAATGGGTCAGACCATTGCTACAGAGGTCATTTTTTCTTCCTCCCACCATCGGAGAGTGAGAGATTGCTTTTAAAAAGGGAAAGGGATAAATAAAAAGCAAATAAGTTTTTTTCAATATATATTCTTCATTGTATACCATTTACCTGTTGCAATTCTTCCTTCTCCTCAAAATATAAATACCAACACTATTTCCCCTCCTGCTAATTATTCCAGCACTGAGGTAAGCATACCAGAGAGGGGAGGTGTGGAGGAAAGGCTGAAGTAAAATAATTTAGGAGGGGAAGCAAACAAAAGGGCATGTATGAAATTGATTAGTTTTATCAATTACAGTCAGGAGCTACAAGCTGCCTATCCTAGTAAGCATTCTAAAGGGTGAGGGGAGTAGGAAAAGGAAAGCACAGTCACCATCATGTGAATTCCATTTATTGGTTGTTTCACTTAGCAATGGAGCTGGTGGTTCCAATTATGGTTGCTAAATGAGGACCTTTTTATAATATCATCCCTAATATATGATATTACAAGAATTTATGGAAAGAAAACATAAACAGTCATAGAAGAGCAGAACAACATAAAACAAAATAGATTATTAGAACCAATGCCATATGGACATTATTATGAATGAATTAAATCTACATCACTGCAAAATGTTTTAATGTACTATGTAGTATTAATTATACTTTGAAATGTACAAAAATATTGAATAATGTTCATATTTGGCTTTGGCATGAAGCTGATAAAAATCTCCAAACTTTTAGCCTGATGTAATTAATTACTTATTTTCTTTTTTGTTTTCACGGTTACAACAATTCTGTAAAGCTGTTTAAGAAAACAATGTGACTCACCCAATACAGCTTCACAGCTGAGTGAAAACTAGAGCTAGGTTTTATTCCAGTATGCTAATTTCAATCTGCATCCTCCCAGACTTTAGATTACAGTTCTTTACATTGGTGACACTTTCCAAACTATCTGGAAAGGCACAAAATAGGTAGTATAGTACTAGAACAGATAGGCACAAAAACATGTGTGAGGCAACTCTCCCAAATATGCACACTGAAGGCACACCAATGATAAGGAGAAATTAACTAACTATGACTTAGTGTAATCTAAATTTAATTCAATGTTATTAATATGATATTGCTTAGTTATCCATTTTTTCATTTTCATTTTGTCATGTTCAAAATTAGAATTTAGTAACTCTAGAATAATTCTAGAGGCTGTTTTTGCTGGCACATGTTCCTTTAAAGCCACCAATGGTACATTCTTATCATACATTCAACTGTTTCCATTAAGTTGAATGATACCCAACATCACTGTTTCAACTTTAAATTAGTAATATGCATCTAAATCACAGCTATGCAATCAAACTAGACAGGCTTCACTAAAATGAATGAGAGCAGAGAGAGAGAGAAAACCATTTTTTTTATTCTGTATGGCATGAATTCTGCTTAATATATCCACAAGCAAAATTACAATTTTTTAAATATTTATTAATAAAAATAGAGGTTGCCAAATATACATAGAGAGAGGTCTCAATTACCTCCTATTTCATCATAGGCCAAGTAAACACCCCAAAAGATTTTTAAAAATCTAGTTCAAAACCTGCTAACCCTCTACGTATAGAATACAACACATTTCTTTTCACAATATGTGTTCCTGCTGAATAACTGAGCAAGCTGTATCCAATCTCGGTGAAGAATTAAGGTAGGTTTAGTTAATAAAAAGATCATATTTCAAATAATATTTTGTTTTCTGCCTCAGTGAAAATGTTTTTCACCTGCTACTAATTTTCTTCTTGGTTAGTAGAACTGTTATTTGTCTGAAGTGAGAATGAAGAAAAATTTTATGCTTGCTAGTGAAACCAGATCTGTAATGCATGCAAACTAATGGGCAAATGGTACTGATCAATCTATTCAAAACTGTTGAAAATTATAATGGTAATTCAATTATAGCCTTACAATATGACGCGGAACAACCAGAGCTATTTCCATTTGTGCAAAAAAGAAAAAGAAAACCTCTTTCATTCTCCATATGCTGAAAGTGTACAAACTGATACTCTCCAGTCCAATTCTTTCTTTCCCCTCTCCATTTTAATCAAAGTTTCTGGCTTTCTTTTGAAGAAATATTTTTATAAATTAAATGCACTGAATTTAATTTTGAACAAGTATCACCCGACAAACAATTCAGCATTATACTTTTGCTGTTCTGTCTGTAGCAACTTAAGCTTTTTGAAGTGTTGGCTTCGCTCCAGTAAAAGGTTGGCATCTAATTTTATCAAAGATTTGCTTAACAGGAATTTGGCAGAAAGCACAAGCTGCTTTGTTTAGTACCGGTTACATTATTGTGAGAGGTTCTAACAGTTTTACAGCTATTTTAAAAAACCAAACTCCAGTGTATCAGTGAAAATGTCACTTAGACTTCTCCATGTGTAAAAGTAGTTTCAGGAATGAGTTATATTGTGAAGCATATTAATAATTAAGAATTATGCTATTGAATTAATGATCACTACACCTGTATTGTCTTATATAATCTTTCTATTTTAAGTACCAGTACTTCCATTCCATTCAGTGCTCTGCCACCAAAATGAGCTCAAACAAGGGAGCACCTCTTTTCTTCTTTCAATGGGCCTATCCCAGATATCTGTGGAAAATGCTACACATAAAATTGGGATGCTTCCTGAACAAAATTAAACGACAGCATACAGAACTCAAATGAAACAGAAAGGTATCCCAAAGTTGCAGAAGAATTAGACTAATGAACAATAATGCTTTGTATGAACATGTGACATACTCAAATATTTTAAAAATACAATTATTTCTAAATTTTTAACAATCCCGTTCAACCAGATGCCTGCTGCTTACTAGTCTTCTCAATTCCGATAATTATGTAAAAATGCATATGTGCATAAAAAGCTAATTTCATATAGAAACCCAAATTTAAAAGGCCTTTTCTGCTATAGGAAATAGGTACTGCAGATGACAACAAATGTGGTTCTTCATTGCATCAAATGGTCTACTAAGACCTACCAAGTTTCAAAGGGAATCAAAGCTGATAAGGGAGAATATGTGTAAGGGAGAATATGTGTAGCTCAAGGTTGAAATCACTCTGCTAAACAAATAATTCCCTCAACACTATCCAACTGTTTACTAAGTCTGCATTACTATCATTATTAATCTTCTCATCACTCCTATCACCCATTCCCTCCTACTTGCTTGCATCCTTACGATTTATATTGTTTCCTAGTATGATTTGATTGCCTATTTAAACCCTATGGCTATATTAAGTGTTGTACCTTATGATTCTTGACGAATGTATCTTTTCTTTTTATGTACACTGAGAGCATATGCACCAAGAAAAAATCCTTGTGTGTCCAATGTGTGTCTAATCCCACTTGGCCAATAAAGAATTCATTCATTCAAATGAGGGATCCTCTCTAAGCTTGATTGTTTTCTTGTGGTTGGAATTAGAAACATAAATGGAAAGCAGAAAAAAGCCCAGGGAGAGCCAATCCAATTTATGTTGTTTTCCTCATCTTAATTTGGATCATAGGCAAATTATTAGGTAAAAACTGACAAGACCAACCAAATCCTATTGCCAGACCAAAGAACATAATCAACTTCAGACCTTGAAGAATAGATTTACATAGAGCTATAAAGATCTAGACTGGAAGAGCCTGGTGAAGATAACAAAACTTGCAAAAGGAAAGACCTACTGAAATCAATGGAACAAAATAGTCATACCAGTTAGGGTTTACTAAATCTAATCTAAACATGACTAGATTTGGAAACTATAAATTTCAAGAATGCATGGCAATATCTACAAGAAAATACCACGCTATCATTTGCAGATCAGGTCGACCTTGAACTGAGAGCAGGAGAGAGGCATAACAACTTCAAACTCTACTTAAAGAATATCCACATACAATTTATCTGATCCTAAATGTGTTGATTTTAAAAGTTATGCTACAGAAATTTGGATTTCAGAGGCTCGGTGCCAGTGCTTTCCCTATCTTTAGAAAAAATCAGCACCAATTTCATGCAACTTTCAATGTCAGTCCAAACACTTCAATATTCTTCCTTGTAAATATCTGACTAACTCTTGTTTGTTTTCTGAACACAACTTTTCAAAGCTAAAAATGAGAAAAAGAGAGAAATCTCTCCTTAAATGCTGAACACAATTCAAAATGAAATACTCTGGGGCAACTAATGGAATAGCAGATTACCAGAATAACAGAGTTGGAAAGGACCTTGGAGGTGTTCTAGTCCAATCCCCTGCTGAAGCAGGAAACCCTATACCATTCAAGACAACTGGCTGTCCAGTCTCTTCTTAAAACCCTCCAGTGATGGACCACCTACATCTTCTGAAGGCAAGCTGTTCCACTGGTTGGTTGTTCTCACTGTTAGGAATTTTTTCCTTTGGTCTAGGTTGTTTCTCTCCTTGATTAGTTTCCATCCATTGTTTCTTGCCTTCTGGTGCTTTGGAAAATAGGTTGACCTCCTCAAATATTGGGACACGACTAGTATGTAATCCTTGTAATAATTTTCACTAAAAGATTAAACCAATGACTCTCTATATTTTGCTCTGGGAGAGTATTATTTAATTAGATTCAAATAGAAAGGTTGTTTTTTTGCTCAGTTAGTGTGAAGTCACCACAAATATTCAGCAATCTGCACATACAACGCACCCATAAACTTATGAAAGAAGGTAGTTTACTGACTAACATCAGTAGTAATAACTAGTATAGAAGACTAACCCAAACTCTTGACTGTGAACTGACACTATATATAATAATAAATAATAATCTATCACTGAAAAGTTCAGCCTAAAATCATAAAACTACTCAAACTCTCTAATAATATGAAAGATGACAGGGGAGTTATAAAGGTATAAAAGTCGTTTCTATTCATCTGCTTTAAAAGGTTGGAGAATTCTCCAGTGAAGGCGTGAAGGATAAATAAAATATTAATTTAGGGAGAAGAGAAGGTGGGAGTTATTTGTCTCTGGAATGCATTTTAGAGATCAAGTCATCTGCTGCATTTTATTTCTCAAAAGCACTTACATATTATGATGACTAAGATTTATTATTAGGTATAAAACATCAAATAAATGTGCTTAAATGCTTTCAAACAATTTATGGTGAATAACTGTTGACTATGAATCTATAGTCCCTCCTCTTTCTCAAGTTAAGGATATTACTTGGCCATTGTTACCAAGTGACAGACATGCACATAACATGTGAACACATCCTAGATTATATTAATATAGATTTTTAAAACAAAAACATGCAGGCTTCATTCATAAGAGCAATGCAAGTTTTCTGAAAATGCAGCTTAATGAAAATAGTTTCAGAATGCCAATCAGAGAAACAGACTTGTTTTATAGCTCAAGAAAGGTTAAGGAACTTTTTCTGAAGATGGTCCTGTTATCAGAGGCCAGGGTTGGTTTTTTTTTTTTGGGGGGGGGGGGAATACAAGAGCATTTTTCTGCATTGTCCCAGGCTATGTTTGGCTCCCACTGTGTGCTTGGCTGTTAATTGTTAAATGATTTAGGATTTACATTTACTTTGCTATTATTTTTAATCTGCTTTAAACATCTTTAAATTCTGCTTTTGTTTTTAAAGTTTGTAAACTACTATGAGTACATGACAGCACAAAAATATGAGATTAACTCATACAAACCAAATAAATACACAGACGTTTTACTTAAACAGGTGTCATTATGATACATGCACTCTGTTCAAAAATTATTTTACAGGTGATTTTCTAAATCATGTCACAGTATGCATTCAGCCTGAGTCTTCAGTTTATTTCAGACCAAGACAGTCTGTGATAGTAGAATATTCATAGCATGGACAGATCCAAACCCAACTAGCATATTCTAAAGAAAATAAGAGTGCCATTTGTTATTGCATAAAACATAAATATATCTAAGAATAGAATATTATCTTATTTATTTTGAATCATAACCGGCTTCTGTATTCAAAATGTCTATTTTAAAAATTAAAACATAGATAAAAATGTATATACAAATTCAGTAGAATAGAATAGAGTACTTTATTGGCCAAGTTTTAATATGTATTGATTTATATGTGCTACACATCTCACAACTGTGATTCTTATTTACTATAAGACCTTACTTTAAAGAAAAAAAAAATCCAGATTAGGTTGATTATTAGATTAACCCAAGTTCATAGATCTTATGTACTGATACTCATATTACCAGAGTTGTTAAAGTGCACCAAATACAGATAATCTATCTATTTTCTGATAAACATTTGCAAAAAGTGTCAAAAAAGCAAAAACACTGCAGTTGCACTGCGGGGCATATTGTACGTATTAAACATAAAACTAATCTTTGCAGGTAGAGAACTGAAAATGGTTTACTTAACTTTATATAGACTACAGTACTTTTACACTTCCTACTAGTTAAACGTATTGGTGAGAGGGGAAGTAAGTTTTGATAGAACTTTGAGAGGTGGTACTAAAATTTCACAAGAAAAGGAAGTGTCAATGCTCAAGATTGTCAAGGATATCTTCCAACTAGGACACTAAAATTACACATACTTTGATCATCTAAAAGCAATACCAGAACACTGGTAGGTTTGAGTTTTACTAAAATAATAATAATCTTAAACTTCATCTGAGTACGCTATAATATTTGTTTATCACATTTACAAACTGCCCATGTCCCTCACACCATGACTTTTGTTCGTTCTATTCGCTGTCAAGTATTCTGCTCTTTACATAATTTCAAGTGATGGAGATGCTGCTCTAAATATATTCATTTAATAAATCCACTTAATTAACCTAAATACATTTTTATTAGCTACTTGTTTGATTAGTCATTGTGACAGTATATACATATGTCACAAGGAGGAGCTGCAGTAACAGTTGCAACATATAGGGAGCTCTTGGGGTTATGGTAGGACCTCTGTCCTTGGGATCTCACATTCCATAACAGAAAAAGTGGTGGGAACAACTTATGGAAGCAATTTGCTTGTGAGAAGTTGGCAGGGAAGCTTGCAAATAGCGATCATGTGATCAGAGGACGCTGCAATTGTTGTAAGAGCGAGCCAATTGCCAAATCACCCAAATTGTAATAATGTGACTGGAGAGATGCTGTGATGACTGGAAATTCATGGACTGGTCATAAGTACTACATGTTCAGTTTTTTTCATAACTTTGAATGGTTGCAGAATGACTGGTTGTAAACTTTTTTTAAAAAAAAAATCCTATTTAAGTGTTTTAACATTACAAATTGCAATCTAAATTGCATATAGCTAACATGATTTTGCTGTGGAGAAGACTCCTGTGAATCCCTTGGACTGCAAGGCGATCAAACCGGACAGTCTTAGAGGAGATCAACCCTGACTCCTCTTTAGAAGGCCAGATCCTGAAGATGAAACTCAAATACTTTGGCCATCTAACGTGAAGGAAGGACTCACTGGAGCAGAGCCTAATGCTGGGAAAGATTGAGGGCAATAGAAGAACGGGACGACAGAGAATGAGGTGGCTGGATGGAGTCACTGAAGCAGTAGGTATGAGCTTGAATGGACTCCAGAACATGGTAGATGACAGGAAGGCCTAGAGGAATGTGGTCCATGGGGTTGCGATCAGTCGGACATGACTTTGCAACTAACAACAACAACAACAACAACATGATTTTAAAGGTAATCTCTAAAGAAATAGTTTAAGTATTCAAGGCAATCTGAATTATTACATGGTTTATTCAGTATTGCAAAATGTTGTTAAATACTTGATTCTACTAATTTGAAATTAATCAAAGTATACTGCCAATGCATAAGTATATAAGTATATGCATATAAGTATATAAGAATTGCTAAAAGAGGAAATTAATATGTTGATATATTTATCTAGCAAAAATAAATATAATCAGAAAATATTTCCCATAATAATTATTGCTTGAGGAACACGTGTTGTTTTATAAGTAATATGAATTAAGAAAAATTCACATCAAATAACCATCTTGAAAAAAATGGTGCATTTTCTAGCTAGAGATTAATTATGAATTCATATGATTTTTCCCCTTTATTATGTGAATAATGCCCCCTGAAGGTAGTTTTTGAATGTTTACATTTTGAATAACTTAAAAGTGTATAACAGTGCATTGAACTGTACATGCAAGGATTGTCAGTAGAAAACAAAGATAGGCTTATGATTTAAAACATGGACAAGTTAATGATTATTGCTTGCAAAAATAGAAATTTCTTTTTATTTTATTTTTGAAAAATATAGTGAAGCAGATGTAGTTTTATTTTTTAATTGGAAACCAGCTGGAATACAATAACTTATAAAGGAAAAGGCTTTTAAAATCATGAACAGAAAGTGCTTTCTGTGGTGAGAAAGTGAAGAGACCAGCGACAAGCATTTGACAACTCACTAAGCCATTTCCCACAGAGATTCTGTTCAACTTTCTCCTTGGTGCTCAGTGATCCAGCACAGAGCTTCTTGCTCATTCCAAAAATCCAGGCAGCCAAGATATTAAGCTGAACTCTACAAAAGAATATGGGTAGGAAGCCAAAATCACAAGCTCCTTGAAACTCTAAAGGTATAAGTGAGAATTACAGATAATATCTACTGAAGTTCAGTAAGAATGAAGCAAGCGTGATCAGCTACAATCTTGGCAAAAAGAAAACAAAGCTTCTGTTTTTCAAGCTCAAATAAATAATGAAGGTGGGAAAATAGGAAAGGCGCACATGATTGTTGTCTAGTAATTGTATCCCACAGCTAGGGTAGTATGGAAATAACTTGGAAAAATATTATCTTGAACAGGGGTTTGGCACAATAAGAATAAAACATATCCTTAATGTGTGTCAGCACACTGCATATACTTCCCTAGCAGACAGAATGTAGGCTGCAATATGTCGCTTGCAAAGTAGGGTGTAGGTATTTAGCTTGCACAGAATAGTATCATCACACTTGGGGTAAACTGGGCTGTTGTTTTTGTTGTGCTTGAGTCCTACTGGCCAAAATCTGCCAACAATGACTGGTATTATCTTTACCATTAAAAGGAATGTAGCATGTACACAACTAAGACAAAGATTCTAGTTTATGTATTCTCAATTTTATTCAATAGCATTCTATGAGGTCAATATCTATGGCTCATTTAGCATATGGGATATTTTATTTTGTGCCCAAACCTTGAGACTCTGGGCAATGTACAACAAATCACATTAAGACAATGAAAGACAAAAAAAATCAATATCACATAATATAACAACTAATATAAAGTCACTCACTATCAATCAAGATCAAAGCATGTTGGAAGTGGATAATTTTAATGGGCATGAAAAACCAAGTCCATGTGAAGGTTCAGTTTAACTGATTATTGCTAAAAGCCTATGCACAGGACTCTTCTCAATTAACAGTCAACACCAGTTAGAGCTATATAAGGATCACTAGCAATCAAGGGGGTTTGGACTTAGCTTTTTGTGGGTATAAACTCTAAATAGACTCTAAACTGGTCCCTCTTTTTAGCCCTTCTGCTGTCTCTGCCAGTCCTCTTACAGGACCTTCTATTTAAGAATAAAATAACAGAATTGGAAGGGACATTGTAGGTCTTCTAGTCCAATCCCCTGCTTAGGTAGGAAACCCTTCATTTCAGACAAATCCTTCATTTCAGACAAATGGTTATCCAATCTCTTCTTAAAAATTTCCAATGCTGGAGCATTCACAACTTCTGGAGGCAAGTTGTTCCACTGATTAATTGTTCTAACTGTCAGGAAATTTCTCCTTAGTTCTAGGTTGCTTCTCTCCTTGATTAGTTTCCACCTATTGCTTTTTGTCCTGCCCTCAGGTGTAGTGGTGGTGTTCTACCGGTTCGGCCCAGTTCTGGCGTACCGGTAGCACCAAAGATCAGCTGGCAGAGAACCGGTTCGCTCTGAGTCTTTCCAACGCTCTGCAGTTGGGCCCAAACACCCACCCCTGCTCCTAGGTCCTTTTAAACCTCTCAGCTGTTTGGGGCGGCAGAGTGGATTGCTGTGCTAAACAGCTGAGAGGCACAGTAGATTAGTTTTTATGCATACGCAAAGTGCACATTTGGTGTGTGAGATCACACAATTGCACAGATTGTGTGAGTTGCGCGATCCCACCCCTGCAGCCATGCCCACCAAGCCACGTTGACAGAACCGGTGGTGGGAACTTTTGAATCCCACCACTGCTCAGGTGCTTTGGATAGTCTTAGAATATTGGCTAGGTTTACAAATGCTGTGCAAGATTTGTTTTTATTTAGATCACAATTATAATACGAAAATATCTGAGTATTGGTTGTAAAGGGTAATTTATTCCAACCTACTATACCTGCCATGTATTTCAGTTATTTTAAACGCTATTCTATGCAACAATGGGATTTGAACGACACTCCTTTTAGACCTTTAGCGTTATCACTTGAGGATGTTCCATTTATGAGAGTTCCCTTGCAATTGTAACTGTATTCTTAGTGGCAGAGATATACTGAAAAAACAAATAGATGTCTGGCTCATTTCCTTGGATATCAGATAGTTTATGGAGGCACTGGGGGATCTTTTGTTGCAGCTGGTTTCCATTGATAAACATCAAGAGGCAAATGAATGGTTCCCTTAGATGTCAAAATTAAGAACAAAGATCATTCAAAATTTTCATGTGATTTTAATATGTATTTAATTATTTATAATTTTAAACAATGTCTTTCCCTCAGTTACTTAAGGTAGTATATACAGTAATCCCTCTCTGTTTGTTTAGGTAAAACACTCCAAACCAAAATATGTAATCAGGGAATTTGTGTTTTCTTCCTAATAGTCATCATTGTCTATCAGCTATAATCATCCCATAAGTATATCTGCTTTTTACAAAATATAATTAAATTTATTTTTAATATGATTCAATAGACAGAATGTCAGATCTGGGTCTATGATTCCTAAGTTCACCATCTTGTCTGGGCCCTCTTGCTGAAGTGGAGGGCCCATAAGGTTTACTTCAGTGAACTTCAACTTTGCACATGTACAATCCAAGGTCCAATCCGCAGTATTTAGCTAGTAAGAAACATTTCTGCTTCAAGCCTTAGAGAATTATTGCCATCTATAAGATTATTTTATAGTACCGTTCAATGTAGCAATTGTCTAGCCTCCTTTTTATTACATAAATAATATTTTAACACATATATTGGTTGTTGATAATATGGAGTCTCTACAATTGTAGATCTAGACTTAAGAAAAAAAAACCTCTACTTTAAGGGCTTGAGCCAAGTACTTGGGCCAACAATTTATTTTTCACAATATGACTAAAAAAATGTGGTGTCAAATCACATTATAAGAAATAAAAATTCAGACTGAGAAATATGAAAACATCGAAATACAAGTATGAGATTAATGGATATCAACCTATATTGTTTTCAAAAGTGTTATATAAATGTATGGATGCTGCCACTAATATACAGTAGCTAACAACGTGATAGATATTATATAAGTATTTAATATGTGTGTCAATATAGTTGCTGAGGAACACAATTGCACTCAATATGCTTTTCATAAGTACACGTAGATCACAATGTGAACAGAATATAAGACTGATGGGTCTTTGGCCTAATCCAGCACAATTCTTCTTGTATTTTGGGGTGAAATCCAAGCTGGGTATCCATGGAAAACTCAGCTGGCAGCTGCAAGCATTGTCCATAATGCATAACTTATTGAATTTATTAATTTCACTGTGTCTTACCTGCCTCCCACCTATTATAACCAGGAAAATACTCATCTTTTTGTTCTATAACAAGTAGTGAACTACAGTGGCAAAGCAAGATTTTCTTGATATATCTACAGAAACAAAAGGCAACACCAGCTCAGGGAAACTGGAAGTGCTCATATTTCCTTTGAATTGCACCAGCGCAAACTCAAGTTAACATAAAAGCACTCCAGATATATAAGGATGCCACATCTTTAATAACAGCATTGAAAAATACAGAAATAATAGAATTAATATGGTGAAAGAGCGCCCATTTAAAATTCCTGTACAATACTATAAATGTTCTAAAACCACATCAAAAAGTACAGATGTCTTGCTCACTGATGTAATATCACTTCAAACAAACATTTCACATGCTCTCTCAGCCTTTTCAGTGTTTTTACATGATCCACCCAAATATCTAACTGCTGTCTGGAACAATAGTTGGGAATTGTTCCAGATTACTAATCTCTTTAAAAGTTAAAACAACTAATATGCATCACAGGATGAATAAAAAGCTCTCTGTCATAATATCCCATATGTTTCTAAATTGCACCCACATTATTGTAATATGATCATTCAATTAGCAATAATGACAAGGACTTTCCACGTACGTAACACCTTCTATTTTGAGGTTTTTGGAACCTATACAGTATACACAAAAACAAATTATGTCACCCAATACTCTTTTGAGGTTTCTGCTGTCCATATTATTTAGAAATAACATTTGAAATATATTTATCTCAATCCCTATAGTAAATAAAGTTTTTTTTACTTCATTGACATTTTAAATACTGATTTTTGAATTCTCGTTTTATATCTGTTTAATGAATGAGAAAAGTACAATAGTGTAACACATTAATTTCAGTTCTGCTTTTCTATTACATTAACCTATCTCTTTCCATTTTAAATTATCAATGCTATTTAATAAAAATAAGTGAATTTGTTTCCACTTTCTTGTTACTATGTGTGTTTGCTCCATTTTATAAAGAATGTGAGCAACTATAAAATAATTATGAAATCCCTTGCAAAGCA